TTAAAAAAAATCATAATATGTTCCTTATAAGTCGGGTTCATCTTTATAATTATAAATTTAGTATTAAAAAAAAATCTTTTAAAGTTATATAAAAGAATCCACACTACTCTTAAGAAAGTGTTAAACTATTCAAGATAACAAAAAGCTTTTTATATAAAAAAAAACTAAAGAAATGCTGTACAGCTCTATAATAATAATTTATTAAATATAATTTTTTTTAAAGGTTTTTTTTGAATTTGTATATTTCGTCATATTATGCCATAAAAAATATAAATAATTTTTTTATAATTGCTTAAATTCTAACAAAAAGCTTAAATCTCAACGGTAATAAATAATATATATAAATTTTACTATAGAAACCAAATAAATTAGAGTAAACTAGAAATTAATTTTTTTTTATAATTATTTTATTAAATTAGATAGTTTTTAGTATTATAAAAATTAGGAAAAGTATAAGATGCTTTTAATAAATTTCTTAAATGAAAATTATATATAAATTTTAGTTTTAATAATAATAAAAAATTTTACGATAAAATGAATTAGTATCAGATTTTATTATAAAATGTAAAATTTGTAAAAAAGGTTTTAGATGATTAAAAAAAATTATTTAATAATCAAAAAATATATAAATTTTAGTTCCAAAACCTAAATAGTCTACAATAAAATGAATATTAAAAGTAATAAAAAAATAATTTAAATAAGTTTTAAAACATTTTTATAAATTATAAAATTAAGAAAAAGTTTAAGATTCTTAAAAAAATTTTAGTAAATAAAAATTATAAATTTTACTATTAAAACCCAAAAATTTACTGTAAAATAAAAATTATTTTGTTTTTATAATTATTAAATTAAATTAAGTTTAAATTATTTTTATTATTATAAAAACTTAGAAAAGTATTATATGTTTATAAAAATAAATATATTTAAAATTTCGTTACAAAACCAAGAAAGATTAAAATGAAATTGAATTTTTTATTAAATTACTAAATTAAATAAGTTTTAGACTATTTTTATAAATATAAAAATTAGAATAAGTTTTTGATGCCAAAAATAAATAGGATAAATAAATTTCTTTTAATTTTTCAGAATATAAAATTTATAAAAAGTTGATGATTATATAAATTCTTTTTATTAATAATAAAATTTAAAAAAGTTTTAGATGCTTAATATAAATGTATTATATAAGTGATAAAATTTTAATTTTTAAAATTAATTAAATTTCTTTTAATAATAATAAACTTATAAAAAATTAATGTTAAATTTACTTTATTTTATTAAATTTTTTAAAAAAAGTTTTTAATAATTCGAAGTTCTTTTATTATTTATATTTATAAAACTTTATGAAAGCTATGAATTCAATTTTGTAATACTTCTGGAGCCATCCAAAAGGGGCTTCCCACAAAAGCGTCCTTATCAGTCTTACAACTATTAAGATGCCCTTAAAAAAATTTAAAAATTAAAAATTTTAGACTTTTTTTTAAAAAAAAAATTAATAAAGAGAATTTTAAAAAAAATTTAAATTCTTAATTTTCAGAAAAGTGAATTGCAACGAGAAATTGAAAAGTGATTATATTTAAAAAAATTTTATAAAAATTAAAATACTAATTTATTTTAGAAATAAATTTCAACGAATAATATAATTAAAAAAAAGTTAAATATAAAATTGAAAAGTACTCAAATTAAAAATGAATTTTTAAAATTTTATATTAAAAAAATTTAATAAAGAAAATTAAATAAAAATTTAGATTAATATGTATATAAAAGTAAATTGCAACCAAAATTTTTAACGAAAATTAAATTAAAAAATTTTATTTTATATATTTTACAATCTAAATTAAAAGTAGTTTAAAAATCTAAAAAGGGATATAAATTTATTTATCGAAAATAGATTTTTGAAAATTTAAATTAAAAAGTATAATAAAGGAATTTATAATTTTCAGATTATTTATATTTATAAAATAAGTTGCAACGAATAATATATAAAAATAGTTGTAGTTTTGTATTCGCTTTTAATTTTATAGTAAATTAAAAATAAAAATAAAATTTGTTGAAGAGTTAGTCGAAAGTTGTGATTGCTGTTTTTTTTTTATATTATAAAAATAATTAAAAGACGGAACTTAAATTAGAAAAAAAAATTATTTTTATTGTATAAATTTTATGATTTTGGATTTAAAGTAGTTTAAAAAAAAATCTAAAGAAATGTTAATTTAATTATCGAATAAAAATTTTAAAGAAATTTAAAATTTTAAGATATTTTAATAAATTAAGTTTTCACGAATAATTAAAACAAAAAGTAGTAATTATTGTATTCGATTTTATTTATTAAATCAAAAATAATATTGAAAAGTGCGTAAATTATTGTAAGTAGAAAGTTGTGTTCCCTTTTCTTTTTTATTATCTAAAAATATTTTATTCACCGGAAATTGTACTAAAAAATCATTCTAATGGAATAAATTTTAAAATCGAGATTTAAAGAAGTTTAAAAATCTAAAAAAGATCTTTAAATGTTATAATAAAACTTTTTCTAATATATTTTTTTATCAAATAAATTTTCTTATCGAAAAAATGAATTTTGATGAATTTTAAATGAAAAGAAACAGCTTATTACAAATTATATTACACGAATATTATTATAAAAAAATATTAGTAATTATTGTATTCGGTGGTAAAGTATATTTTGGAAGTGTTTATACAAAATTGTGTACGTAAATTAATTAAAAAATATATATATTTTTTAATTGAACGAAATATCATTAACACGTGAATTAAATATTTCTTGTCAGCAATCCAATTTATAAACTAATAATAAAAATTTTCAAGTAATAATATATTTTCTATTGTATTTTTCCATAAAACGATCTAGAAATTTTAAAATTTTATATAAAATATTTTAGGTTTATATTATAACATTCGAAGAAAAGTTTATTGAAGATTATAACCTTTTCATTATTTATTAAAGTTTAAATTTAATTAATAATTTATGAACACTAATAGTTAGTAATAGAAAAAATTTGGATTTGGTTAAAGTTTAGATTTGTAGTAGACCATAACAAGCTAACAAAGTACTTCAACTCTAATAAATAATTCCTAAAAAGAAAAATATATTAAATCATATTAACTTTCATTAAAAGGTGCAATATATAATTGTTCCCGTAAATTAAATTTATATACAGAAAAACTTGTTAAAATTAAAATTATAAATATTTTTTTAATTAGCCAAATTTATACTAACAGTAGATTTCACTAGCGATCTTTAATTTTTGTGAAATATTTTTTTTAATTTTCCTTTTAAAAATTAAATTTTTACTTGAAAATAATTGATTTTGTAAAATTTAGTTGTTTATAAATTGGGTTAACTAACATTTAGATTTATAGTAGTTTGTAACAATTTAAAAAAAACTTCAAATCTAAAAATTAGTTCAATAAAATTATTAGTTAAACTTATTGAAAAGTCCGCCCGCCATTCAGGAAAGCATGAAATTGGTAGTACTCCTTATTTGGGCGCTAAAATTAGTAATTCGGGTCAATATAAGGTAATTAGCCTAACTAATATATCGCCTCCGCTATGGGCACACGTTTGGCTGTTATTAAATAATTCTGGCCACGAGCCGTATTCTTGTAGTAAAAAAAAAGGTTATTTCTTTAAATTTTTGCATAGAATTTTTACTTTATTATAATAAAGTATTACTTGTATATTTATAAATATTATTAATTTAGACCAAAATTTAGATTTAAAGAAAATTGTAACAATTATAAAAAGATCATTAAAACTTATTGTTATTATTATTTTTATATTTAAAATTAATCTAATTAATAAAAATTAAATTGTATAAAATTTAGGTTTCGAAAAAGAATTTAATTCGGCTAAAATTTTAACAAGTAAAAAAAAAACCTTCAAAATTAAAATAAATTTTATTAAAAAGATATTAGTTAATAGTAACTTATTAAATAACATTCCGTTCATAAATTAATTTTCCTATTGAAGTTCAGAAATTTTTAAGTAATACAAAAATACTTTTAGATTCGTGGATCTTAAACTTATAATTTATTTAACCAGTAACTATAAATAATATTTTGGATTTAATTTAATTCTTAATTATAGGATTGATCAAAAGTTATAAATTATTTCCTGATAATAGGTTTTAGTTAAAACTTAGATTTTTAGTGAGATTGTAAAATCAAAAAGATTCAAAATTTATAGGAAATATTGATTTTTATTAAAATATTGCATAAACTATAGAATTATAATCAATTTAAAAGAGTATTAAAAATGTGAATTTTCTATAAATTTAAATTTATAGAAAAATGTAATAATCTAAAAACAACTTAAAAATTTAAAATTAATTTATTATAAAATTTTTATTTTTCGAATAAACGAAGAATAATTAAAAGTTCTGGTGCTCCTCTGAAATATATAAAAAAATAAAATAAATAAATAAATAATTTTGTTAAGATATTAATAACAAATTTGTTCATTATTAAAAATCAGTCCAATTCGAAAAAATACTAAAAATTAATAATTATAAATTTATAAAATTATTTTTTATAGATTTTCTATTATATTAATTTTTATAATTTTTATTTATATTAATCTATTGTTTAAACCTGCAACTTCGAAAATAAAATTTCAAAAAACTGTTAAAAATGCAGTGATAATAAGAATATTTTTTTATAAAAAATAGTTCTAAATAGATAAAATTCGTTTTGTTTAAATTTTAATAAATATTAATTTATTTTTAAATAATAAAAATTTTTATCAATATATATTTTACTATTAAATAAATCTAAACTAACACCAAAAATTATATTTTAAATTAATTTGTAATTATTTTCTTTAATAAAAATTCATTAATAATATAAAATTTATAATTTCTATAATAATAATTTTTTAATTTAAAATTTAAATTAATTTACTATTTAAAGCCTACAACTCCTAAATTTAAAATTTTAAGTTTTTAGAAATTTCGTAATAATAAGATATTAAAAAAAAAATTACTACTAAATATTTAAAATTTGTAATGTTTTAAATTTTTATTCTAACAAGAATATATTTGAAATTTATTAAAAAATTAAAGGCGTAACCTAAAATCTACTATTACTTTAAATTGATTAAATTAAAATAACAATTTCTTTGCACCTGTAATAATTAAAATTTAAAAAAAAAAACTTAAATTCCAAATTTTCAATAAATAATTTATTTTTCTAAATCTTTAAATATAATGTTAAAATTTTCAAATATTCTATTTTAAAAATATATATATTTTATAATTTAAACCTGCAACACCAAAATCTCCTAATTTGACATTTCCGTTCAAAGTTAACAAAATATTGGCTGCTAAAGAAATTTTGATGTAAAAAAAAAAGATTTCAAAGAATTATACAGGTTACCTTTAATATCTCGATGAACTATTCCTTCACCGTGTAAATATATTAAACTATTATAAAACATTTGAAATTAATTAAATTTATCTTTAAATTTTAATTATTTAAAATCAAAGTAAAAACGTGAGTATTTAAATAGTGAAAGTTATTACATTTCAAAAATTAATTAAAAATTATAAATATAATAATTAATTAAAAGAAAAAGAAATTTAATAAACTAATAAAGTTATAGTGAAACATAAAGTATATTTAAGTTATTATATTGGTTTAAAACAAATTATTAAAATTTCTTTTCTTTTTATAACTTCAATTATAAATATAATAACCCTTTTAAGACTTCTCGCAATATGACGGCGATATGTACTTCTTTTAAGGTGTGCTCGTTCAACTTTTAATATAATAAGTGTAAATATATTTTTTTTAATAATAAAAATCTAAAACACCAGATCCAAGCAAGAGCCACCGCCGCAATATTCCATTACTATCCACAATTGATGGCCGTTTAGGCAAGAGCAATAGTACTTTGTCACATTTGGGCAAACACTCCGAGATAAAACTTTTTAATATATATTATTGTTTATATAAAAAAATCACAAAAGAATTTAATTGGTTATGAATACAAAGTAAATTTAATAGGTATAAATATAACTCTGTATTTCTTGCTGTATATCGGCTATATCTTCTTCCGATTCCTCAAGATTAAGCATTTTTATAGCCACCACTTCTTTAGTATCATTTTTTAAACTTAATCCGAATAAACTTAAAATATTACTCGAATCGAAAGCTTTTAATAATTACGCCTTATAAACATCGCCAAACGAACCCTTCCCCACCTTCTCTAAAACAGTAAATACGTTCGCCCGGCTTGCACTACGAGACTAACAAAATATAAACTACACGCAAGAAGAACAACTTTAAAATGTTCACCATTCTTTTCTTAGCAATGCACTATTTATTATAGACTCCCTCTATCTGCACAGCCCAACGCTGAAAGGAAGGTTTTAGTTGCGGAAGAGAACTTAGCTACGGCTAAACTCACCCGATGGTGCTAGCCAAGAGTTTACTTAGCCCAATAAAAATCTGCGTTAGTAGATTACTACGATCGATTGACTCCCAAGAAAAACGATAGTCTACCAAAGCCGGTAGGGGCTAAAGCCGGTAGGGGCTAGCCCAGCTTATAACAAAAATAGTAAAAATGGAACTAAAAACTTTTTTATTTATACGTAGAAAGCTCAGTACAACTGACGACCGTTCAGACATTATGAATATTCCGTGATCCTTTGAAGTCAACCCCTTAGCCTCCAAAGCCATACAACGTCCTCCCTTGCCTCTTTAAGGCATATACGACATCCATAGCGGTAACCGTCTTCCTCTTGGCATGCTCAGTGTAGGTGACGGCGTCACGAATTATGTTTTCTAAAAATATTTTCAAGACTTTTCTCGTTTCTTCATATATTAACCCAGAAATTCGCTTTACGCCACCACGTCTGGCTAAACGGCGAATAGCCGGCTTCGTTATCCCTTGAATATTATCCCTGAGAATTTTGCGGTGGCGCTTGGCGCCCCCCTTTCCGAGTCCCTTTCCACCCTTTCCTCTTCCAGACATAATAAAGCAGTTCACAAGACAGCAAGCACGAAATGTCCAGAATAACCCCGGTGAAGTGCTCTATTTATAGATTTTCGAAATTTGAATTAAAAATGGCGCAAAAATTAGTACGGGTAATTTTTACTTAATTTTAATTTTAACGGAACCAAATAATTCCTGTCATACCAACTACGGAAAGCATTAACTTCAATTTTATGACTAAAAAACGTAAAAAAAAGTGATAATATGTATTATTTCTAAAACAATTATATATATATAATAATATAAATAATATAGGATATAAAGACATATATAATATTAATGTTACTGCTTTTATTGCAAGTTATATTTTTAAAACACTTACGCAAAGTTTATTTTTACGAATATAACATTAGCTGATTGGCTAAAATGTTTTTTCTGATTGGCTAAAAAATTCAATTTTGATCCGTTTTTTAGTATATAAATGAAGTAACCATTGCCCCGCTCTCAATTGTTGTTAAACCCCTTTCTTGTCTACTCCAGCGATGGCTCCCGTGGTTGCTCCTCAAGCGGTTCCTTCTAAGACGACTACTACTGCTAAGGCTTCTGGCAAAAGGGCTGGAGGCAAAAAGGGTGGGGTAAAGGGTGAAAAGGGTAAACGCAAGGCGAAGAGGAGGGAAACGTACTCCACTTATATTTACAAAGTTTTAAAGCAAGTCCATCCAGACACTGGTATTTCTTCAAAAGCGATGAACATTATGAATTCTTTCGTTGCGGACATTTTTGAACGTATTGCCAATGAAGCCTCAAAGCTCGCTCAGTATAACAAACGCTCGACCATAACTAGTCGTGAAATTCAAACTTCTGTCCGGCTACTTCTACCTGGAGAATTAGCGAAGCACGCTGTGTCCGAAGGAACTAAAGCGGTCACGAAGTACACCAGCAACAAGTAATAAGAAAGCCAACTTATGATATATAATGTACTCGAGCCTGGTAGCTCGTTTTTTTAAATAAATCTGTTATTCACTCTGCCGATAAGGACCTCTTTTTCTATGTATTTTGAATTACTGAAATTAAGTTACGAGTGCTTTCAATAGTTTAGAATTTGCCAGGTTCGCTGTGATATATACTCACTTCTATTGACCAGAAAGAATATAAAAAGGGTAGCTTTGGGTTCATAAGGCCTGGAGCTTTTTAATAGTTAAGTACTATTTAATCTCCTTTCTATAGATAGGGATACATACTATCTTGAATGGTTCTACATATATATTGTAAATATGAAAACTTATTTAATTTGATGACTTCCAAAGATGAAGGTTTAGCGAAGAGGAGAAAAACCCAATACTTAAAAGAAATCTATCGCTTTAGCAAAAAGATTTTGGGAACTTAGAAAGAAGTAACACTTTAACGTAAAGAAGAATATAAGTGACAATTTATATTAATATTTTCAATTTCTCCATTTTATTTACACAACAGCTAAGAAGCTAAACTTACGTAATATTATTTTAGTAGCTTGTAAAAGTCAAATAAAGTAAAATTGTACTGAAGTTATTTAAAAAAAAAATTATGTATATCCTTAGAATAATTATCTACTTTAGATGACTTAGAAGATTAAAAAGAACTTATAAATCAAACAGCAAAATAAAAGGCAAGTCCTCTTTTAAAGGTCAAACCAAAAAAAAATTTTTGCGTGAAAGGTGTTATCAAGATTTATGAAGTATATTTTACTAAAGTGGAATAAACAAACGGTCTCATTTAAGTTATTAAAGTATATTGCTCTTCGTTATATTAAACTAATAGATAACTTATATACAATAAGAAAAGTTGGAGTTAAGCAGTACTTGTTAAAGCAAAGCTAATGAAATAAAAAGTTCAAGCAAAAAAAATATTGAGTTTAACTAAACACAAGTCACTTATTCGCTCCGAAAATAAAAATAATAATTATTTTATAAAAACATTGTCAGTGAAACTTTTTACAGCGCGCAGTTAAAGATTGGCAATATTAGAAATTCATTTTCTAGTATCAGAGCAGAGGCATTTTTTCTTTTTATTTTCCAAGAAATTATGTTTTCTTTGCTCAGTGCGAAACTACGTGTAAAGGTTATTAACAAAATTTTAAAAAAATTATAGTTATTTGCAAATACTATACGAATAAAGCTATTTAAAATTTATGAAAAACGAGGCAAATACTATATTAAAAAGAAGCTAATAATAAAGTAGATAATAAATATACTGCAAAAATATATATTTTGGAAAAGTTAATGCGAGTAAATAGTGAATTGAGGAGTTATGTTTGAGGATCGTTGGGTTAGGTTCGGCGAAATAGAGGGTGTTTGGTTTCACACCTTCCCAAACCCCTAAAATTGTTAATTTTTATAGAACTTCAGTTTTGAGGCTCTAGTATATTTACAATGAAAGTTCATTGAACATATTTTATGTATTGTTCTTCACTTTGAGTTAAATTAAAAACAACTTGCATTCTTTACCAATATCTACTGGACAGTAATATAATAAACTTCAGCCTCTGAGTCTCCTTGGTAATTATAGTAAGGCTCATTTAAATTAGTATCAAATTAATTTTTTCTATCAATATCTTCTAGAAGTAACATATTCCAATTTTTCAATCTTGAGTCACCAATGGAGCTATAATCAAGAGTTTATTGGACTTACTAACAAAATTTATTGAGCGCATATTATATGTATACGTAATTTTATTATAATTTTCTTTTTTTCTTTATTTTAGTAATAGAATATTTAAAGGTAAACTGCTTATTAATATCTATTAGACAGCTATATGATTAACTTTTGCTTTTCAAGCTTTAATATTACTACTAAGAAGTTACTAAAATTTGTAACTAGAGGCGACTAACAACAAAACACAATATACACTACACCAAATATTTTTGATTATAATTATCCTATAGAAGTTAATCAACAAAACAACAATTACCCTACATCAAAGTATAGAAAATAAAATTAGTTACAAATTTATATACAAAAAGACGGCCTTGAGATGTAATAGACACAAATAAACATGAGTGAAAGATAGCTAAGAAATACAAATTACTCAGGAAAAAAGTAAAACAAATATTCATAAACTTTTTTACAGATTTTTTATAAAATTAATCAGTAACTAGCAGTTTAATTAATAAAAAACAGAAGAATAAATTATTTTGAAAACCTTAAAATGATGACAACCCTTTTTTTGTTTTTAAACAAATTAAGGAAAAATTTAAAATTAATATGGTAAAATTAAATTACATTTATAAACATGAATATATATTATTGGTTAATTAATTAACTTGGTGGATGCTAATTGGTTTAAAATAGATCATTTTCTCTAAATAGCTTTTTTGAGGTTAGCGTTTTGTTTTTCTTTTTGGTTAATTTTTGTGTTTCTTGGCTGACTTTCACTTATGTTTATGTGTGTCTATTACATTTCATGACCGTCTCTAGTATATAAATTTGAGTAGTTTTATTGTCTCTACTCGAATATATGGTAATTATGGTTTTGTTGACTAACTGTTGAAATATAATATTAGTTAAGAAATATTTTATGTAGTGTACTGTGTTCTGTTGCTAGCTGATTTTTTTTGTTACTTTGTATTAGGTTCACTTTAACACATGCTAAAAAAGACATTTAATTTAATCTCAATTTTTTAACTTATAGCTTAAAATACAGTATTTAACGAAATAAATATTTTATTAATTAGTTTAGACTCGAAGAAGTTCTATCAATACAAGAGTATTATTCTTTAGTGGCTAGAACAGGCCAACACTGTGCAAATTAATAAGCTATTAAGGCAAAACACATAATAAAAATGGATCAAACTAATAAATATTTATATTATCAAAACATTAGAATTAGAATTATATAATGAAGATAAGGAAATCTTACAAACTATATAAAAATTAATGCGATAAAGGCTAAACCTTAAACAAAATTAATGAAACCACGTAACAAAAAGAATAAATATTTTTTTTAAAATGCAAACCAACCACTTAGTTTTTCCTTAAAATTTTTTAATATAATACATTTTAATTTCTAACTATAAACTACTGTTTAAAAACGATATTTTGTGTGCTTTATTATATTTTTTTGGTGAATTATTGGTTGTTCTTACTACAAGTTCAGTTATGAGTCTATCATATAGAAATGCGAAATTTTTGTTTTTTTTGTCAAGAGTAAAAACTTTAATTTTTTAACATCACCTTAAATAAACCTACGTTCATTCAAAGCATTAAAAACATTTTTAAGTGAATAGTTTTGTAAAAAGTCAACGGCCAGTGGAGAATGTTAGTTAATAATAATTCATAAAGAGGTAAATAAACCCTTTGTACTATGAAATTTCGTGAGTACAAAAGTCGAACAACTTGCCTTGAATGCTTATATGTATAGATGTTTTTATGGAAATTGCAATATCGTTTACTATGGACGAAAAGGGAGGTACACTAAGAATAGGAGCGCTATAATTTTGGTAATAAACAAGGCTTTGTCACTACTTTAGGTAGCTAAACTTTTTAATTAGTATTATTCAAGCCTCCTCTAAGATAATATTAACTTAGAAAATTTCCTATTTCTCCCTCCCCACTATTCTCATACCAATTTATACAGGCCATCAGGATGAAAAGTTTAAGTTAATAAAACCGTTTTATATGCTTTATTACGTTTTAAATACATTTTTGTTGACCCAGAAGATCATATTTTTCTTTCATATTTAATAAGTAAATTTTTTGTAATCATGCCTACTTAGGATATTGTTGTCTATTAATAAATCGTTTATGTCGAAATCAACCACAACTCCTCAAGAGGACACCCCGGGTACACAAGTTTGACATCCCCCATTACCCTAATAACGGGTAAGTTGTTAAAATCCTTCGTAGCCCAGAAGTTCAAAGGTTGGACCCTTCCTCTTTTACCTGAAAAGCTCTAGATTGTAAAATTCATGAACTTAGCTCCCCGGCGAACCCAGTGGTTCAGGATTCTATCTCTTTTCTATAACCTCTCTATTTAATGCACGTGCTACTTAGCGTACCTACGCCATTCCACATGTGCAAGGAGAAACCCAAGTTGTATTTATTTTCTTCTTGGCCCGAGTAACCTTTTTTTTTCCTGCTAGGGGGTTCAGTTCTGATCTGATGTTCTCGTTTAATCTCTATTATTCTGTTCTAGTCAATCTGTTGCTCTGTTTGGTTTTATAAACTTTATTCTTTTTTACTTGTGACTCATTTAATTAAGTTGTATACGTTTATTTATATATTAAAAAATATTATTCTTATAAACTACGCCCAACCGTCTCATAGAAGTTAGGTTACCTTTTCTTGCGTTAAGATAATCGCATGGATAAATTACCCATTTAGTAAGAAGAAAATAAGATTCGCATACTTAGTATTTTTCTTTTTTCCAGTTCACATTCTTAGTTTTAAAAAATGGCATGCTAATAGTTCATGGGTTAAATATATATCACCGTTTGCTGGCGAGATTTCTTTTTATTAGTGTGTTTTATTTTTGAGTGTAAATGTATATATATATTGCTTAAATCTTTTTGTTTTTAAGTTATTTGTATACTTTTGTGCTTTTCGTTTTATATTTAGATTCCCTATTTTAAAGTTGGTTTAATCGGGTTTGTGTTTCGTATTTAAGTTTTGTGTTTTGTTTCTTACTAATTTCCTAAAGTAAATTTAGTTCTCGTTTCATTAAATATATTTATATGTTTATAATTTATTATTTTTTATCACGATATACAAGGAGTAATTAATGAAAGAGCGAATGTTTAAGCTTTATTTACGTCAACATTAGCCTTATAAATAAAAGTGATTTTAAAAGGAGAAGTAGTAATTTCCTTCTCTGCGTAAAAAATAAATTTTATAAGAAATAATTTATATAAAAAAATATTTATCAAAAATCTTTATTTAATAAGCTTTTAAAAATTTTGTTTTTGTTTAAGAATTC